GCGTGGTAATTCGACGCGTAGTAATTCCACGCGTGGTAATTCCATGCGTGGTAATTCAATGCGTTGTAATTCCACGCGTGGTAATTCCATGCGTGGTAATTCAATGCGTAGTAATTCCACGCGTGGTAATTCGACGCGTGGTACCGCCACGCGTGGTAATTCGACGCGTAATAGTTCCACGCGTGGTAATTCGACGCGTGGTAATTCAATGCGTAGTAATTCCACGCATGGTAATTCGACGCGTGGTACCGCCACGCGTGGTAATTCAACATGTGATCCAAACCCTCTCACAAAAATTTAACGCAATTCTCTATGTATGAAAACTGTCCAATAATTACAAAAAAAATTGTGTTTCTGTCTGTGACATTAATCGATGAAACTGGATTCGCCTCGAACGGTGTGTTCATGGCGTGGTCGAGCTGGAATGCAGCTAGCTGGAGCGTAATCTTTGGTTTGCACACGATCGCCAAGAGAGACCACAGGAGTCCCTTGTAACGCAAGCGACTTCACCTTTCGTGTTCGGTCCCTCTCTTTTTCTAGTTCTCTTTCTTGCCATCGGCCTTGGCTCGAACAGTTTGACATTTCGCTAGCCAGCTTATCTGCTTCGCTGACAAGCGACCGACGAGAGCAGAGATGAGCCTGTGTCGAGATTGTTTTAACACCGTCGGCTGTATTCATGGCTATTCGAACTCGTCAAATAGCACTTAAGTTTCTGATGATAGTTATTACATGTTTAGACTGTCGGATTAGAGCTGAAAAGCATTTAATCGAAACATCATTTTTCAAAGAGTGATTCTTGATGCGTAGAATGTTGCGGTGTTAATGATACACTGTAGACTTTCGTACAGAAAATAGCGTTAATGGTTGATCTGGTTTGCTGATAAATTAAAAAATTTCTGAAGTGTTTCAAGTTTATCACCCTTCAATCCATGGATAGCAAATGAGGGAAGTTTTAAATATCGGCTTAATTATCTGCCTTTATGAGTTTACGTTATCAAAGTATACAAAAGTAGTTAGTATGCATTGTGGGAATAAATTGTTCGGAATTAATTGTCTAATATTCTCAGCAACTACGAGGAAACAATCATGAGAAGAAGTCGTGAGAAAGTGCCCTTAAATTCGTATCGGGACGAATAGTTTTATAAATAAAAATTCGTGAGACGTTACTTTCCTGGCAGAAAAATCTTCTACGTTCGTAAAACGGTTCGTTTCCTGACATATTTCATTATTCATTACCAACTTTTAGGAATTTTCATTGAAACCTCTTTCACATCTAACACAAGGGAGACGAGAGAAGTATAATATAGTACTTTCCTGTTATTCCGCACAGCGTGTACAAGCAAGAAAGAAACTTTCTAAACAATCCACCATAAATTGTTATCAGACGTAAATGATAACAAACGACCGCGATGCGTTATCATTTCTTTTCATTGACCAACATCGATCGGACACTTCGCATTAATTAAACGGTTCCCGTTATGAGGTGTTAATTGGAGCAAGGTAACGGCCGCAAACTTTCAATCCGATTACACGGTTCTTTCTCGAATCTTACCAACGTTGACATACTAACTTGCGTAACTTTTCGACTCGTTCGACCGAGAACGCTCGCGATTTCGTTGGAATTTCTCCAGACCTTCTAATGGCGCAATTCATCAACCGGCCGAAGTACACGCCTAATTGTACGACGCATACTTGTGAGTTTATAAACTTGATTTCGAGTGGGTTCACTCTTTCGTCGTAGTACATATGTGACAAAATATACTCGTGGAATTCATGCGTTATATTACCACGCATCGGATTACTACGGGTGGTATCACTGTTCTTTACTGCCACATATTAGACTACTGTGTTACATTTCTACGAGTTGAATTACTGTGTGCCAATTCGCGTGTTGTGTCGATATATGCTGAATTATCGCGTGGAGGTACTGCGCGAGGAGTAACCACGCGTGGAGTTACCACGCTTGGAAGTGCCACGCGTCGAATTACCACGCGCCGAATCACCACGCGTAGAATTCTCCACGCGTTGACTTATCTACGTGATGAATTACCACGCGTCGAATCACCACGCGCCGAATTACCCACGCGTCGAATCACCACGCATCAAATTACCGACGCGTCGAATCACCAAGCGCCGAATCTCCACGCGCCGAATTACCACGCGTAGAATTACCATGCGCCGAATCACCACGCGTAGAATTCTCCACGCGTTGAGTTATCTACGTGACGAATTACCACGCGCCGAATCACCACGCGTAGAATTCTCCACGCGTTGACTTATCTACGTGATGAATTACCACGCGTCGAATCACCACGCGCCGAATTACCCACGCGTCGAATCACCACGCATCAAATTACCGACGCGTCGAATCACCAAGCGCCGAATCTCCATGCGTCGAATCTCCACGCGCCGAATTACCACTCGTCGAATCACCATACGCCGAATTCCCTCGTGTTAAATTTCCATGCATTGAATTATCACGCATGAATTCACCACACATCAAATTACCATCTGTCACATTTCCACGCGTCATACCGCCACATATAAAATCACCAGACTTCATAATATTACGCGTCGTTCGATTCCTCTCTCGCTACCACAATTTTCCCTGCGTTAATTACATTACCCATAAAATTATTTAAACTTCGGTCATTCTCAAACCACCTCTGCTAAATTTTAAATATACTTCCAAACATACCGCTTTCAAATACTCGTACAATTTTTAAAACTATCCAATTATATTCAAAAAACGACGAGACGAACAAAAATTCCTGGAATAACATTCATGCGCGTAATCTTTTGAGCCGTAAAGTATCATAAACTGTCCACTAGTAGTGGTCAATGTCGGCGATAAAATAGCATGAAAATGTAAATCGCCTGACAGCAAAACCAAAATGATCACGAAGGTTATTATCCGCGTCATAAATATTTTCACGCGATTTTCTATGTTTACACGAGTTCGCACGACCATTTTGTATCGTGGAACTCGTGTCCCGTAATCTGTACAATCGCAACGTTCACTGTTATAATCGTCTTATCTCGTTTGCTTTCACGGAGACGCAATCGTGGCTAAAGAAAGAGAAACAAAGATATTTTCTGTGCAGTTTTTATTCAATTTTCAGAAGGTATTTCAAGTGTTGTTTCTTGTTACAGGGATTCGATACGGTGGAGAGACTGAACGAGTCTGGAGAACTGAGGGACATGCTAAAGCCATATCAGGTATATAAAAATTGATTTCATATCGTTTATAAGCTTATTACGGTCACGTATAAACGAACATTGTGTTAGTACATACTGTTGAGTAATATTATATAATATTTTCACTGTCTCAATTTATTGATACTTAAACAACCTCCGTTAAATGCACATTTATATTCAATTCGAAAACGAAATGAAAAAGAGGAAAAATTAAATAAGTGAACTAACATATACAACTATCTTTTATCTTAGAATATATATGAAATTTTGACACAAGCACAGTAACAAAATTTTGTAACATGGAATCTGAAATCAGTCAATCTGACTAGTTGATAGTTCTACAGTTCTGTCAATTATGTCAGAACAGATAGCAATGGAATTATTAATGTATCGACTTGAGTATAAAGCTTTCTAGAAACAGGAGTATGACAGTTCGATAGAATGTAACTGCGTGCAAAAGATCCAGCGTAGCATCCGCTGGACACGAGGATTTACCATAAGCTCGCGTCACGAGATGTCGATATTCCTCCTCTTCGAGAATTATTTGACCCTTTAAGAATTCCGCGCCGGTTCCAAGAATTTTCTACGTAACTATGTTCCATGTCTTCGGAATATTTATGCCCCGTTGAAGAATGGTACACAATCCCGAGTGTATAACTGTGAGCCATAAAGGAACTTGAACGCGCACACCGTAATCCGTCGCGAACGCAAGGTTGTACGATCCTTTCACTTTTATCCGACGATATCTTACCACCACCTTCCTTCGCTCTATCGCGATCATAAATTTCGATACCGTGCAATTCAGGTTTACCTTGCAGCGAGCAAAGGTCGTTTACACCGTATGCTATTGTCACTTTCCTGATATTTTGTTGCGCGCAACGGAACCAGAACCTGATGTACACTACAAGAATTACAGTGATACTTCCTTCGGATAATTCCACTTTGATTTAGAAAATAAATTGTAAACATCGATCCCTAAATTCGAAAGTTCATTTTAAATTTCTGAGAATACGAGATCTTATCTCAACTTTGCATTTCTAATTAACAACCCCTTGATTAAGTTCTTAAATTACTTAATTTTATTTATATCTCTCCAGAGTTCGGTGGAGAACATTCAAGAGCTGCAAGAGTTCATGCACTTCTATCTTTCATTTTCAAGGAAAACTTATTAAAAACCGAATACAAAGTTAAAACAATTTCCTGTATACTTCATAAAATTTTCAATGTTTATTTCCCTGGTGACTGACCTCGAATACCTAAAAATGAATAAAAGTGAAAGCACTTGCGCAACGTCGTCAAACTAGCGTGAAGACTAACACCTAACTTTTATAGGTTAATTAAAGAGTATCGATCGAAATAAGCAGAAAGTCGCAAGCACTATACTTGTAATCTTACAATTGGGCTACAAAATTCGTTTTATTCTCTGACCAATCCTTTATTTCGCTTCTAGTTCTGCTCTCTAGCTTTTTGATTGTAACTCTATATCGCGCTTCTCGGCTCTTTGATGAGTTTCCACTCTTCGACTCTCTGCTTTGGCAGAAGCTTAATTAAAGTTCACTCTTCGAAACCAGTGCACTTTTAATGGCGTTCCACGTGTAGTACACACTCGTACGAATGCGTTCAGACTTGCACTTGGAATAATTAGAAACTGTCCTCTTCAGGCACGGTCAATGTGTAGTTCTTGAGGTGGTCTCAAGTTTCAGATTCCACGTAGTCTTTGAAATTTGTCGGTGAAAAGGATTCTGACTTTGGCAAGTTTATACATCGCTGCGTGGTATCTCCACGCGTGGTAATTCATCGTGCGGTACCTCCACGCGTGGTAATTCCACGCGTAGTAATTCGACGCGTAGCAATTCTACGCGTGGTAATTTGACGCGTAGCAATTCTACGCGTGGTACCTCCACGCATGATAATTCCACGCGTGGTAATTCGACGCGTGGTACCTCCACGTATGGAAATTCCACGCGTGGTAATTCGACGCGTGGTACCTCCACGCATGATAATTCCACGCGTGGTAATTCGACGCGTGGTACCTCCACGCATGGCAATTCCACGTGTGGTAATTCGACGCGTGGTACCTCCACGCATGGTAATTCCACGCGTGGTAATTCGACGCGTGGTACCTCCACGCATGGTAATTCCACGCGTGGTAATTCGAGGTGATCGTTTTAACGAGATTCCTTAACTATCGCCATAAGTTAATTTCTCAATGTAGCAAGTATCTCAATTTTTGGAAATTCAAGCTCCCAATTTTTCAATGTCTAGAATATCTAAATTTTCAAATCTTTGAACCTCTAATTTCTTAACGTCAAGCACTTAACCCAAAATTCCTTCTCCAAGTGTGTGTACAGTTATTCAAAGTACGTCTCATTTCTTCCACTTGCTACCTTAATGACATTACAAAGTTTTAATGAATTGAAGTACCAAACTTAACCCTTAACCTTGCTCTACTATATCGTCTCAGACTCGTGACGCACACTACTGTTCATATATGCGATGCACCTCGTAGTTTCATCTAAAATTTTGGATTCAATCTTAATGATCTTCATAACCAAGTGTCTCTGAATACAAACCGTGCCTAACTCTTAATTTTCTTCATTCATCTTCACTTTGTAGTAATGTATCTCTACATTACTGCCTAGAAAATTAAAATTTAAACAAAGATCTGGATTTGTCATATTTCCACAGTAAAATTGAACCTTTATATTTGAATTTCAGAGCGAAGATGCCTGCACCGTCTGTCTGTTCTGCGGTGGTTACCAATGGCAGCTGTGTCCGGTATGCAACGGTAGCAAAAGATCCGTGCATCGCAACGACTTCACCGCGGAATTTGTCGCCCTGAAGTGTGCAAAATGCGATGTGAACGGTCTAATTCGTTGTCCTCACTGCTAAAGGACAAGCATGAAAAGAACGAGAGCCACGAACGACATCGTCATCTTCGAACGTTATTGCACTCGGATCCCCATGGCTTACAACCCCCTCCCTTACACTCGGTTTAAGACTAAGGTGCTACGAGAGTATATTGCATGTTACACGTAACACGTCGCGAACATGGATTCGTTTTGTCCACGAGAGTTCGAGAGCGCTCTTTCGTTCAGAATTTTCGTTTGCTGCTCGTCACGGGTTTCGTAGAAACTCGTACACGAAGCGAGATTTGAAACTTCAAACGGTAATTGTCGCTCGTTTGATCTAAAATATTGGACACGATTCGGATCGCGAACACTCCCGTCAATTGTAAAATATCGACTAATAAAGCTTATTTGAAATTTTGTAATATTAACACGGTGTACTTTTCTTTTCCCTTGGGGCAAACTTTATTTTATTCTTAATAATTTTAGTTAGAATTTACAAAGTATGGAGATCGTAGATGGTTGACACTATTTCTAATTATTTTATGATGCAGTCCATGTAAAAAGTCACTCATCAAAGTCATGATCACGTGTTAAATTAATGATCATCCTTACTTCCACGAATCGGCTATGCTTATCTGATTGCAACAGTGACAAACTGCGTTTGCAATAAATATAAGTATGACTCAATTTGAATAGCAAACACCTAACATTATTGCATAAAAAGTGACCTATGTCTCGTACACGTGACTGATCTTGAAGAACGATACGCCGTCACATAAGATCGTCGATCATCCTAAGATCGCACTGTTAATAAAAATATTTTAATATCCCATGCAACTTCTTGCTTCTATCTGGGTAATTCTCTCGGATATTTACCTACAAATTTCATTTTACTACTGCGTTCACTTTAGCCGGCTGGCATAAATTCAGTAGATTACAGACCCTCTTAATCCGAGTTCTTGTACGAACTTTATCGTCGCAGTTACTTAATCGATACAATTTCCACTACGTTTCCACCAACAATCTCCTAACGTTACTCGTTCGGTACATTTCTGCTTCTGGTTTGTTCTTAATTGAACCTGTCTGTTTCCATAAAAATAGAGGAGAATTCTTCTGTTTGGACATTGAAGCGGATTCGATCTGAGCTAGGTGAGTAAAAAGGTAACCGTATTTTAGTTTCGCTCGCTGTTAGAAATTTCTTCCACCGCTTTTTCCATTATACCAGAAGTTCATCCGGAACGACATACGGCACACATCGTTACAGTAGATCATGAAAAATCCTAATATTTGTTCAGTATCCATTTAACCATTTTCTTCCATTTATCAGAAATTAGTACTTCGTTTAGAAGTAGATTAATAATTCAGTAGATTAATAATTTCACGAAAGATTTAATTTAACATTAAAACATTAAAACTTCAAACTAATTGTTTTGTAATTATATTCCAATAAATGAATATTCAAACACTCGATTACGATGTCATGGAAGAACATCGTTACAGGTTTCTGTTTATACCTAACATCATTATTCTTTAACGACATCCCATCAGTATTCTTCAGCGACATCCTGTTCGATTCAAACAGATCTTCCTTGCATCACCGAAGAAAACGAGATTGTTTCGAAACACGATGTCCATTGCCCCATCCAATCGTCCCGTGCAAAAATCACGAACACTGACGCGCTGTTATACTCGAAGTTCTGCAATTAATGGCACGGAATCAACGAACAGGAAATACGTCTTTCCTGAACGTTCGCGGCGACAGTCCTCCATAGAATGTTCTGTCCTATATTTTTTTCAGAACGGCCGGACAAAACCTACTTTATGCCGCGATTCAGGCTCCGCAATTAAATGCGACCGAGTATGAAACTATTGTGCGGCCTTTTCTTCTTCCACAGAAATAACCTTCGAATCCTCGTTTTCTTTGAACAAGCAGACGCATAATCGCGAACCAGTTCCCTGGTAACCTGCTGTCCCAGATGATTGTTTCGAAAATAACGGTTCGATATGAATTAAGCGTGGACACGATTCCGAGTCTGCTGGAAAAATTCTTTCGTCAACGTTTGAAAATACATTTATGACGATTAATACTTTGTCCTATAATATCACACTCGAGTCGCGACAGTTGGAATGTGACAAACTCACTCACGGTATTTGAATTTTGGGTTCAAATCTAATTATAATCTCCACAAGGATCGCTGCAGGTAAAGTGCTTAACATTTCTTCAGTGAGCAATAATTAGCAGGCTCTGACGCAAGTGTCCAGAAAATAGTAGGTTAAGGGGTTAAAGGCGTTAACACGTGGTTGCATGCAACGCCCTGTATATTTCAATTTAGAGACGCTGAAAGGTCTTTCAATTCGAAGACTCATCATCGCGTTTACGTAATCGTGGCGCGAAGGAACGAAAAATCAAACCAGCAACAATTGGAGACTGCGCCAGTTACGTAAGTTCGTTAGTGACGGATCAACAATTCTATTTAAATTCCGTTTATTAACAATGCGAGATTGAAGGCTTCGTTATACAGGCACGCCTTCGCGCTGTCAATAGAACTTCACATACACGTCACGTGTGCTGACCGATCGACAACTTCCGCACTTTTAATCCGCGGCCAGTCGATATACATACTCGTGAGGAGGATTTAAAAATAAATGATAACCGTGTATTTTTAAACAGTATAATGTCCGTTGTCTTCGAATCGATCATAAAGTTCGTTCGATCGAGCGAAGTTGTGCATCGCAGAATTAACGCGAATCGATACGTTGCGTTGGCGTCGAAAACTTCGCTCGACCGTACGATATCCGTTTATTGTGTGTTCGTACGACAGCTATCGATTGATATTCTCGACTATTAAACAATTTTAGTCTTTCAGGTGACACGATGCTCGGTTAATTTCTATCAAGCCGGCCTTTCCTTGATTCTATTAAAAACTTTCATCTATTTCCACGACGCAAAACTGTCGCTAAATGCCTCTCGTTAACCACAGTTTATGCTCGCGTTTTCGATCACATCACGAATTATTCTATAGTCCATTCGTTATTAAAATTTAATTATTATTTAATTATTATTTTATAAAATTGTTCCATCCAATATTGTGGAAAGTTGTATCGAATTTATGAGTTAACTCAGTTGATTTTCATATAATATTTCCATCTATGCTGGTTTTTCAAGAACCCAATATATGGAATAGTTATTGTATTTCATCGAATAACCTTCATACATTTTGAGGTTATGATATAAAAAGTTAATATTGGAAGATGAACGATCTTCTCTATAACGTTTTCACAAATTCATGAGGTTGAACTTATTACGAAATGTAACAAGAGTAGCTTTAATCATCCCTATTTAAAATTACATCCAGCGTAAAGTCCAGTAATTATAAAAATTCGAAGAAGACCACCATACGTGGTATCCCAAGAAAAGAATAAATAATTAAATGTACCTCTATTCAAATAAGCATATTTGAGACAACATTTTCAGCATAAAAGACAAGGTACAAAGCGCTCGTTAAATGTAATATTATTCCTACCCTCTGTTCGCACGAAGCTTTTACCTTGCACTTCGCAATGCTCGAATAACCAACTTTAGAGAGAGGATAGAAGGCAGTAACAATGGCAAACGTACTCGAAAACCATCCCTCCTGTCGATAAAAGCTGTGCATTCTGCAGAGCGAACTTTTCAGCGTTAGAATTATAACGAAAGCACCGGGTAACGTTAATTTGAACATCGAAATTGTCACATTCATACTGTGATGCTCGACGTCACTAATCCCTCCGGAGTAGTCGGTCAACCCCCGAAAGTTTGATCGAGGGAGATCCAACCGGTTACCGCAGTTTAATCGCTGATTACTTCGAAAGCAATATCCTGTTTACCAGAAACTGCTACCAGTACGATCATCCGTTAACGTTATTCGGAACTTCTCGGGACAGTTTGGAATTTGTCACATTAGCTGCTGCATGTGACAAAGAATTGAATCGACGCACTTTATAAATTATCGTTACGTGCATTATCGATCAAATTATGTGGCAATCATCCGTTTTAAATTTGAGCATTCGTGAACGTTTATAATTTAAAACCCCATTAAGCTTATATATTTCAAAATTTAATGATGTATTAACGTAGTATTTAATCTATAAACGTTCACGATTTACTTAAAATATCTTTGATCAGATTTTGAGAGATAACTGATGTTATACATCGACGCGTGGTGCCTCCACGCGTGGTAATTCCACGCGTAGTAATTCGACGCGTGGTAATTCCACA